GGGGGTGTAAAAAGAGTGATTGAGAAGATGTGTTTTTAGTCAGTAAGTAACAACCGTGTGATACATAAGGGWTGCAACCCTTGTTTGAAATTATACCTAATTAGTGCAATCTACTGTGAAAATTACATCTCTCGTTTCTCCGTCCCGTACTCTTTCAGTTCCTCTCTCGATCCCGCTCCCTGAGTGGAAGRCTAATTAAAGGAGAGAAATTAGATTTGGGCCTTTGCGTACTCTATAAAAAAAGGAAGTGAAGAGTCGGGAAGAGGAAATGTCAGACCCCAGACAAGGACACGAGATTGAACAGGTGAGACTTTGCCACTTAGGAGTGTGTTAAAGAGTAGTATCAGTGAGGGCACAGCACTGACTGAATGAGACAGCCGAAGTGTGATGCCTTGGGACATAATCCAAAATCCGCCTCTATCTGCTTCTGCTAATCCACTGTTGTATTATCCTGAGGTGGTCTTTATACCTTTTACTACTTCATCATATTTTGAAAGGTTTTTAGAAGCAGACAAGAGCCACCATTCAACTACATCATGCGCTGTCGGGRGTTAAAACCGACACTGAGCAAAACGGAAAAAAAATGTTAAAAGTGGTCTTTAGTTATAATAATTCAAAAWTCATTATTGTGTTTTAACAAATTTTCATTTGTATTACATTGGTTTCTTATCCTGAGATCAAAAAAATCTATTTTTTTACACTAATTGCAGGAATGTGGAAGCTTAGTGATTGATCATTTTCCTGTGAAATAGTTTTATCTTTGTTTATATTTTGTGGTTTTGTCACAAAGTATCAAAAAGGTACTGTGAAACAATAGAAACAACCAGGTATGAAGCCACAAAAATGTCAGGTATTTTTAAAATGTATTTTCAAAAATGTCTTCAAATTTGAAGTCAACTTGCTGCTGTTATGCCTCTTAACCATTAAGAGATGTAACAGTCAAAACAGTCAGTTTATCTAAACTTAGCACAAAAAGTAAAGAAATTTGTATTTTGCAGATTAATTCTTTGTTGTAACAATGCTTCTTACCAATAAATAATATGATTGGCACCTGATTGGCAGCACCAGGGAGTACCAGAAGCTCAAAACGTGTCATTGAGAAGGTTTGACAAGTTTTTTATGTGCACATACTCAGCTCTACTGCTCATCCCACAAATGCACGTTCCTTATGAATGTGGCACCATTTAAAAGGGAAATTAACAGGCTTTCGAACAGTATAAGMTTCATTGCCAAGAAGCATTGTTACAATAAAGACATAATCTACCAAACACAAATTTCCATACTTGTTTGTGCTAAATGACAWTGAGGCTCATAGCTGACAGATGGTTTCTGTGACTAGCCGTTTGTGGGCTTCAGGGTGAAAGTGTCATAGTTYCTGAAAGGTTAGTGCGTTTTAAAAATTCCAGTTTGTAAAACACGCACATCCGTCTTCATCTGCTCCTCTTTTCGTCCACACTGTCTCTATTCAGCTCCCTGTTGGTTTCAAATCCACAGTCTCGGGTCAGGTGCAACAGCAGGGCAGCAGTGGATCAGGGGTGTTGATGATGGATGACACAAGTGTTTGTGAGTCCGCGTGTGTACTTGTGAGTGTGTGTTCATGTGTGCGATCAAAAGGCTTTTCCGTGCATTACAGAGACACTCGTCGCTGTGAGGAAGTGGGGGAGGAGATAATGGACATGAGGACTGAGATTAGCAGCCCCCATCCCTGACACGTGTAAAAAAAAATGATGTAACTCGGCTGTGGCTCTGAGGGTTAACATCCTGTTACAGCATCACTTAACTATACAGACCCAAAACCCATTTGGCTCCATCATCCAATGCAACCAAATGGACTCAGTCTCCAGCAGGCAATGCAACGGCATGCCAGAGAAACAACAAAGAGTGTGTTTGTTTTAGAACCAGCAGTCCTGCGCTGCCCTCCATACCCCTCCCCCTGCTGGGAAACTGGCACCTCTTTGGCTTCATCTGAATTCTCACACGCAAACATAAAACATATGAAGGAACCAAAAAAACACTGTCCCATTCCATCACAGATAAACATACATGGAAAAGCCAGGGTGTGTTTACGTTAAGCAAAGGTTTCAGTATTATCTAATTCTTGTAATAAGAGAGATATTGGATAAAATGGCACATTTTGTTTGTTTCTGTGTAAAAAATAATATTACTTCCTACGAGTTTCATTGAAATTCATCCACTGGTTTATGAGACAAGTAGGGGTGACCCGCTTACCAGTTTTTATCAAACTGAGTATGAATACAGTTTGGGCCGTCAATACCTTACTGAGTTATTGCATATTGATTTTAAAAACACTTTTTTTATTATTTAGAACAAGGTGTCTCTTCTTCCTTGGGCCTAAAACAACCTATGAGACATGCTTTTTGGTCTATAGGATGAAACCGGAGCACCTGGAGAAAACCCACCATATTTTGCTAATTGAATGACACAGTTGACTCCAATAATGAAAATGTTTTGAAAACAGATTTCACTTGATCCGTTAGTGCTCACAAAATATATTGGGAATGCCTTTCAGCTACTATCACACAAAGTTTCAGATCAATATCAGTAAAACTGCAATGTGCCTTTTGTCTAACAGCCGCTGTTTCACAACCCTCCTACAGTGTCCTCTACTTGATATTGACATGTCCACAGAAAGCCAACGGGGGTTGAGACAAACAAATGGGTTTTGTTTAGATTCAGCTCCAGCTGTCTGCTTGTTTCCAGCAGACCTGTCAGGTTGGTGATGAGCATGGGTCGTTGCCCTTTTTTTTCCCGTTTTTATTCCTCCTGCAGTTTGCCACTGCGTGTGTATACATCTCTGGCAGTGCACAAATGGATAAACGGAAGGCAGCCTGGCATTTCCTGCATCTGCAAAAGATCTTTAGACATCGTGCCGAGGTTAGCCAGGCATGCCACACACACACACTGTCATGCTGCTGTGCCTATTTATGGTGTGCTGCTTTTTCTTTTGAAAGAAAAAAAAGTAAAAAAAAAAATCCCACTCCTGGACAATGCTCTGGAGTGTGCAACGGTCAAGCAGCATCATTTGCATGGCTGCTTATCTCGGATGTGACAATGCTGCCAGATTTCCCGAGCAATTTAAGCAAACTTCTAAAGAAATTCATCCCCCTAAAATGACTAAATGCCGAGGAGAACAAAATTATGTAGCGTGTGCAGAAGCCGGTGAAGGAGAAAATGCAATTCTCTCTGTAATTTACATGAAGATAAGGCAATAATGTCTATTAGACCCTTTTGTAGTTTAAATACCGTTTGCAAATGATATGTGGACATCTCATTAACAATAACTCTGCAGATTTATACTGAACACAATCTTACCTGCAAACTCACAGTTTACGCTTCAGCTCATGGCTTTAAGCTCTGAATTAAATCAAAGACCTAGAATACCTTAAAGGCGTGTAGATCACCTGCTGGCTTTCATGTCAGAGTAATAGACTAGGAACTATCACACCAGATTTTAGCTCAATATCCATAAAACTGACTAAATGAAAGCTATTTTTTTGTGTTTTCTGTTGCAGTCATCTTGAATCAGGTTGGCTCCAAAAGGTCATCAGTTGCAGAGGTACATCCAATGATTAAAATCTGTCCAGTGGTTTAAAAGATTTTTTTCCAACATTCAAAGCCTGAAAATTCTTGGTAAAATTTAAAATCAAGTTTTAGTGCCCTCTGTTAGTAATCAACATATCTGTTGGGAATCAATCCTAGCTTGTAGCACTCAAAATTTTAGAATATTTGCAAAGCTGACTGGATTATAGCCATATTTGTGTTTTTTTTTACATCAGTTAGCTGTGGCAGCCATTTTGAATCAGCTCCAAAAGTGAATTTGTTGTAGATGTATACCCACTGATAAGCAGAGGTGGGTACTCAAAAGTTGTACTCAAGTAAGAGTAGAACTAATTCAACATATTTCACTCAAAAGTAAAAAATAGTGTAAAAAGTATTTTGTTAAGGGGATACTTGAGTACTGAGTAACTAACTGATTTAAAGGGGCACTATTATGTAACTTTTTTGAGCTTTATATCATATTATAAGCTCATTACCTCATCAAAAACATACACAGAGTATTGTTTCGACTCATTCATGCATAGTTGTGAAATCCTATAATGTCCGATGGTAGCTATTCAGGAAAACAAAAATGGCTGGTTGGCTCTAGAATCACCTTTTAGGTGCAGCTCCTCCTCTGGACTGTGTCTCCAAGCTGAACCTCTGCATCATAGAACACGCCTCCTCCATGAGCAACAATTAGCCAACACCTGGTGAAACTGCACGTCTGCTGCGCTTGTTACTATGTCTCAGTCCAGTCCTTTTCCGATTAAAAAATGCCTTTGAGGAAATGTTTTTTCAGATGTGAAGGAGACTACCCTCTTTTTAAGCTTCACAAAGATGACGCAATTCTTAAAAAATGGTTGGACTTCAATTTTGGAAGTAACCCTCCAACGAAAAAAAAGTTATATTTGTGCGAGCCACTTTATGGATGACAGCTTTCCGAACAAAAGGGAATTTAACAGTGGACTAATAAGATTTTCACTAAAACATTATCGATGCAATTCCAACACTCAGGACACAAACACGTTGTCGTCTGTCCAGGTAAGCTGAAAAACAACTTGTTGTTTTGTTTGGTTGTTTGGTCTATCTGTGATCTATGGTTCCCATTCATAACTTATATTATGATCTGTGTTCTTTAGTTGGCCGACACCACATTTTAGTAATAAATAAATTAGTATAACAAAAACGTGTGTATGTGAGGATGACTGGGAGATATCTTACCAAGCTGAAACGCCATCTCTCTACTCGCTCCGGTTTATCAGAAAACATACTTTCCGAGTCCAGCATGAGATCCTTCAAGTAAGGTACAATTGTATCCTGAGTTGCTATTTTCCAAAACCGATACTGAAGCAAATACCTTTCTTCTAAGACTGGTTGTAAATGGCATGAAACTATTGTGATGACGTGCAGAAAAGGGCGTGACRGAATCGGTAGGAGGTTCTTGAAGAGGCAGAGGCCAATTTCAGGGTGTTTGGAAACGACTATGATGAGAAGTCAAATTGATTTTTGATTTATACATATTGACAGCATTTTCATAACAAGAGGGTGATATAGTAACTTTATTATGGTATGGAACTGAACTAAATGCCTGACAATTACATAATACTGGTCCTTTAATATTTTAAAATGATGTTATCAGACTGACAAAAAATAAACTGCAAATTCTGTTGTTTTTATAGGATAAAATGAAGAAAATTAATACAAATAAATAGCATAATTACACAAGAACAAATTCCATCATAGGAAACTCTTTTCCGAGTTCCAAGTTTTCTCATTTGTATGTATATACTGTGTGTGTGTGTGTGTGTGTGTGTGTGTGTGTG